AATGGAAGGCACAAAATCAAGTCTCTTGGGTTAAAGATTAGTGCCAAAATAGGCGCTTTGTTCACCTTCTTCACTCTAGTTACTGGAAGTTTTTGGGGAAAACCTATGTGGGGAACCTTTTGGGTTTGGGATGCTCGAAACACTTCCGTATTAATACTGCTATTTATCTATTTAGGTGCACTACGTTTTCTATTCTTTTCTGCAGATGTAGCTTCTCTTTTTGTTTGTATAGGTCTCATAAATATACCAATAATGAAATTCTCTGTAAATTGGTGGAACACAACTGCACCACGATTTTCAAGGATAGTCACAATCAACCGTCATTCCAATCGCCTCAAATCACCACGTTGTCGAGCCCATCGGTCCCGTGCAGGGCGGGACCCTCCTGGTCACGTTACGTAGGAGTTGGTCATGTCGCGATAGTAATGGAGCTTCCGCAGCCACTCCGGCTGAGTGTGTCAGGCATACCTCTCGCAAGCTCCTACGACCGGATAGGGTCTACGTGAGGTATTACTTACCTCCACCTGCGGGAGTTGTCACCTCCCTTCGGTGGGTGTATCCCCACCGAGCTACCAGTCCACAGTACGAAAGCTAATCAGTTGCAATCGCAAGGGTGGGTCAACCAACGGCGTTTCTCGTACGTTGTAGTCTTGGGGGTACGCGAGGTCCTACGCCTCTATCGGACCCTCATGCTAACCGACGCGTTGGGGGGCTGAAGTCCCAAGCGAGATTCGTCATCGGTCGACTAGAAAGCATCTCACTCACCACGCTTTACACTACACTTTAAAACATAAAATAAAAAAACACACTTAACCAACACAGCAACACTCCTAGTCCCTTTAGTGTCCAACCCATAACCTTTCCACGGGGAAATCAGTTAGGCAACGTGGTCGAGACTTGTTGTACAAAACGGCGCAGACGTAAGGCTTTCTCATATCAACTAACAATGCAGATATATGCAACCAGTCGCAATGATGGACTACTATGTAGTACTCATAAGCACGTGGTCCTTGATGATCTCGGGGTCACGTTTAACACTCAAGTGTCGGCTGACACTCGCCTTGAGGAGTTAATCTCTCGACGCTACACAACCGCCAAGGCGGTTGGCGACCACACCCTCTTCTGCACCCTGTGGAGAGTGGGTGGTACACAGGTTCATATTTGTGGTAATAATCGTCTATCGAGGTCTTGGAGACAAACTCCATCATCTAGGGCTTGGGGAGAGATCAAGGGGTTTGAATTTGACGATTGTCATAGACTACAACGTCCCACTATGAAAACTCTAAAAAAGCAAAGGATAAAAGTGGATCTCCATTTTCTCTCAAAGCATACCCTAATTAACCTTTAGGCACGGTTGTCGTAGGCCGCACGGACACTCAAGGCATATATATATATATATATATATATATATATATATATATATATATATATATATATATAAGGGATATATAATATGATACGTCTACTTCTCACAATCACAGTGAGACTCCTCTAAACCATATATTAGTATGCGATCGCAGACAATCAAATCTAAAGTTCGAACCACAAAACATACATGCAATCATATAAAAGATTCACAAAAATGTTCATACACTATACGAGGTTAACTTCAACCATTCTTTGCGCGCACACCCCTTGCTGTAGTCATGCAAGCCCCAACCTTTGTCCCCTTTCATAAATAAAACACTTAGTATCTTTGTTAAATGGCTATTCAAAGAAGTTCGGGTGAAAACTCGAAAAAACAATTCAAACCACAAGGCTAAAACCTTTAGGTTGACATGACAAGAGTGAGTTGGAGTTGAATCGTAAACCGACGAATCTGCAACCGACCTGTAATCACTGGTAATAGAAGATGATCCTCGAACAATCAAGTTGAATCTAGTCCAAATCTTGAATCAAAACGATCAAGAGGACCTGTAAGATATGACAGGTCGATGCCCAAGGCTAACTATCAGTGTATTGGGAATAAATTTTCATAGCACATTCTCACTCAAGATCCGTCTGCTAACTAAGTCCAGGTTTATCTCTAAGTCAATGTCCAAAGAAAGGTAGACCTGTGGCAGAATCTCCCCTATTTATGGTGAATTGTCAAAATTGATACCTATCAAAATATAATTTATCTCCTTTAAACTCAGAAAATTTTGGCAGCGCTTCCCGTAGGAAAAGTATCTTCTCAAAATTTATACTAGCTCTAATATGAAAATTGAAATAATCTTTAACTCTAGAAAGTCAAATTTTGTCTAACTCTCTAAATTAGCAAAAAAAACTGGACAGCATCCCCTTTAGAAAACTAGACTTCCCAGATTTATATTGACTCATATATGAACTCAAACATAAGACTTGAGTTTAATAAAGACAAAAAATTGACTAACACTTTAGATTGTAAAAATTTCGTTAGCGCTTCCCTTAGAAGAAGTAGCTTTCCAAAATTTATATAAAGCTAAATACTAAATCTGAAATAATCTTGATTTTCCAAAGTTAAATTTCGTCAAACTCCCTGAATTAGTAAAAAATTCGGCAGTGCTTCCCCTATAAAAAAAGGTTTTTCAAATTCGTATTAAATTAGATATAAACTTAGACAAAAAAATGAATTTTTGAAAGTCAGATTTGACTTTTTTTTTTTTTTTTTTTTTAAGTCTAACTTTTTGGTTTTGTAAAAATTTTGGCATCGTTTCTCGTAGAGAAAGTAGCTTACCAAGATTTATACAAAGGTAAATATAATAAATGATCCAGAAAATGCGAGAATTCACCTAAGTAAAAAAAAAGTTAACTCATAAAATGCAGAAATTGAACTTACTCCTATAGCTCTATCACGTGGCGAGCAACTAAAACAACTACCTGTCAAACAGAAACTCAGACTAAGTAGTGATCTCACTCATCCACACGCAAGGCCAAACCAAAATGGTAAGTACTCTCACCATCCCCAAGGTTGAACCTAGTCAAACAATAGTTCACAATCTTTCAATGATTTATCTCTTATACCCAACTTACATAAGGCGTAAAGCTAGACCATCAAAAGTTATGGAAATATGTTTAGCTCAACCATTTGATATACATAAATACAAGGCATTACAACTTTTATTTTCCTTGGACATATGACTAGGTTGTCTAATCTAGTCACCATGAGTTATTTAAAATATCCAAGTTATATATAACTTTCTGCACTTAATCTTTTAAGGCAGCATATAACTCAACCGTTCAACTTGGAAACAAGGTTCAACCTACCCATTCTTACCACAAGTTTATTCTTAATTGATACTCTCTTCAATTTGTGAAGCTATAGTCAGATAATCCAAACTTATGGAAACATGTCTGACTTGTCTGTTCATAAGTAGAATAGTATAAAAGTATAGTCAATATTTACCCTTCTAGTTTCAGCATGTGCGTAGCTCCAGACCAGATAATCCAAGCTTATGAAAACATGTTTGTTTTTTTCGCTTGATCTCCCCTTAGAATAAACAAGAAGAATGTTACGATCCTGGTCATTTCCCAAGTGCAAATTCACAATGAAAGACAATGTCACCCAATTACGAAAGAAATGAAAGCACTTGCAAAGAGATAAAGACCAGAGGAGAGTTGAAGAAGAAGAAGAAGAAGAAGAAGTATACCAGCAAGACCAATGACAATTYCCCCTTCTCTCTCCACSTTCCTCCTTCCTCCTTCTCTTCACCAATCTTATTCTTCTCTCAATAATAATAATAACAATGAATGGATGAACCAGAATCAATGTCCGAAGTTCCCCCTTACTGCTGACTCAACTCACAACAACAACAACAACAAGAAAGTCCACCATGGCCATGACTTCCCTCCTTCATCCTCCTCTCTCATGCATAGGCCATGGCGGACTACCGGGAGGCAGCTATGATGCTGCGTTGATGTCCCAAGACAACCCAAAGCAGCTATGCCGCTGCTTGACTTGGTCCGCTATGCCTGACTCTGCCTTGAGTTGCTCTGGTGCAGCACTACCCCAACTGGGGCCTTCTAGATGCAGCGCCCAACAAGGTGATGAAGACGGTGTCCACCATAGCCAGGTAAGTGCCCTACCACTCCTACCATGCCCCCTTCTTCCTCCTCCTCAAGTTGGGGTGCTCGCCATAGCCAGGCTGAGCCCCAGCGGACCTTCACCTCCAAGCAGCGCTGCTTCAGTCCAGTGCTGCGCTCCAGCAGCATGTCGCCAATCCTTGCATACCGCAAATGAGGAAGAGCTCACCGCTCTTCCTGAAGATATAGCGACCTACCGGCCTCTTGGGCGGTGACTTCCTAGGCCAAGCGGCCTCCAAGCAACCGGTACCTCCTCCCTTTTGGAGGGAAACATCATTGCAGGCTCTGTTATTGTCCGCACAGGCCCTAGACCCGGGCTACTTGGACTGGTACCGGCCTATCTCTAACCTACCGCTACTGGGCCTCTAAAAATGCCAACTTTTTTGTCTTCTTCTGCTCGGCCTACCTGCTACTTGAGTGTTTTTCCCCAGCTGGTCTAAGTGTTGTGGGCCTACTCCCCGCTACCGACATGTTTACCCCCCTGCAACCTTTCAAAGTCATGGCCACAAGTAAGTACCGGCCCGGTGGGCCTTGCAACCAACAAGTACCCTGGCGGGTCACACACATACCCAACCAGCAAACACTCAGACAGGCATACAACCCAGCAGGCACGCACACACACACAACCGGCAAGCACTCAAATAGGCATGCAAACCAGCAGGCACGCACACACACAGACTTGGGACCACAGCAGAATGCGGGAATCACAACAAGGCATTCATTCTATTGACAAATCCCTGAAATCAGCAGTGTTCTCAGTCTGTGTTTTGGGCGGGTTATTACATTACTGCCCTCTCGAGAGCGAGGTCCCTTCGAGCGAGTAACTCAGTCAGAGTCGGCACAGAAGGCGTCATAGGCATAAATAAAAAAGAGAGTGTTAGTGAGTCCGAACGGAGTGAGTTTTGCAGCAAACTGAGTGGTCTGCCCGTCAACAATCTGTCGTTCATATGCGTTCAAAACACGTGGAACACTTTTTATCAGTTCTTTCCGGTCGATCCAAAAGAACTCGTTCAATGGGTGGTAGAGGAAATGAACTTTGTATTGTCTGTTCCTCCCTCTCCCCTCGCGAGAAACGATTCTGTCAATCTCATGGCCGCCGTCAATAGGGCGAGGTATCATAGGGTCACGGAAGGGAAAAGTCTCATCATCAACGTGTGGGAACAGTTTGGAGGCATGGAAGACTGGATACGTGCGTAGGTGAGGAGGCACGTCAATCATGTACGAAGGACCGAAGTCATCCCCGACTACCTTCAGAATCTACCAAGGGCCGTAGTACAGTGGAAGAAGCTTCCGTGATATGCCCTCTTCACCAGAAAACTCAGACATTTTGACCCAAACATAATCCCCTACTTTGAATTTTTCTTCTTTGCGCAGCTTATTGGCATGTTTGATCATGGCATGCTGACGCTTGTTCATAGCTGCTGTAGCGGCTTTGAGCAAGCGTGCGTACTTGGCAATGTAGCGAGGCATGCCAGGCATCAGACCAGGTGACCGTTCGGGGAACAGATAGGAGAGGGGATTACGCATAGGCCATCCATACTGCAATTGGTTTGGTGTCACACCAGTCGCAGAATGGATGGAGTTGTTGTACAACCCCTTCACTTTGTGCAATTCCTTGTCCCACATGTTCTGATCTGGAACAATTAGTGCACGAAGCAATTGGATGACAGTCTGGTTGATCTCCTCAGCCAATCCGTTGGCTTCGGGGTGTCGACCAGAAGTCCTGTTCAGTTTGATGTAGTAGATCTGAGACGTGAAGTCTTTCCAATGTTTGTTGATGAATCTGGTGTCCCGATCACTCACAATAGTTTTCGGGACGCCGGACTGCAGAATGTACTGGTGATGGAATTCTTCTATTACAAGTTCAGTCGGGGCGTGAGGAGGGAGAGGAATCAAGTTCAGCCTCACTCACCTTTCCCATGTCCGTGAAATCGATGGAAATCGATTCACCGGGTCCATCTGGAATGAGGAGAGGTCTCAGTAGGCCATAAGGCTTATGCCTGTGGACCTTGATTCTTTGGCATACTTGACATTCAGCAATGAATTTCTGAGCAGATCCTTTCATTCCTGGCCAATCAAATTGCTGCAGAAGACTTCCATAAGTCTTCTCAAAGCCAAAATGTCCACTCCGACCGTGCGCCAGATCCAAGAAGTGAGTTTGGAGAGGCCCATGGTTGGGTACACACAGACGGTCAAACTTTCCGTACCGGCGAAAAACAAGACCCTCGCATTCATGAAAATCAGGCTGACTGTTGGGGTCAGCCTTGAGTTGCTCAAGGATGGGACTAAGGTCCGGATCCTTGGCAGTGTGCTCGACCAGATCCTCCTTCAGTTTCCTCCGGAGGTCGTACGAGTCCACAAGGCAAGTCAAATACTCGGGATGGCGCGACAGAGCATCAGCAACACGATTATAGCAGCCTTTCTTATGTTTTAGTTCAAAGTTGAAAACATCAATGTCATGCAGCCAGCGGGTCAGAGTTGGAGAGAGATCAGTTTGTGTCTTAATCCATTGCAAGGTCTGATGATCTGAATAGACCTTGAAGTGGCGACCCAAGGTAGTGATTCCAATGTGTGAGCGCCTCGCGCAAGGCGTAGAGCTCCCGCATGTATGTGGAAGTGGCTACCTTGTGGCTGGGCATGCGTTTGCTGTAAGATTCAAGCGGACGTAGGCCATCGCCATCATCTTGTTGCAGCACTGCACCAATCCCAAACTGGCTCGCGTTCGTAGTGACTACGAACGTGAGGTTGGGATCCGCAATGCGGAGCACATGATGACTCACCAAAGCCTCTTTCAAGGCTTGGAACGCAGTCTCACACTTGTCACACCACGCATAGGCAACGTTCTTACTAGTCAGGCGTGAGAGTGGGTGAGCAATGACAAAGAACTTAGGGACAAACTTCCGGTAGTAAGAAGCCAAACCAAGAAAAGAACGCAGCTCGCGTACATTTGCCGGTTGAGATCAGTTGCGGATGACCTCAACCTTGGTTGCCTCCGTCTCAAGATCGCTTGCAAACAACCGGTGTCAAAGGTAAATGACGCTGTCCCTGCCAAACTCAGATTTCTCCAAGTTGAGGTGCAATTGAGCATCTTTGAGGACTTGCAAGACCTCCTCGAGATGCTTGACGTGCTCCTCTATGGACTTGCTAAAAATCAGAATGTCATCAAGATACACAACCACAAACCTGTTAAGTTGGTGGTGGAGTACCTTGTCCATGAGGGACTTAAATGTGGCTGGTGCGTTCGTAAGGCCGAAGGGCATAATGATGAATTCGTACAGCCCGTCGCGTGTCTTGAACGCAGTTTTGTGCTGGTCGCTCGGATCAACTTCAATCTGGTGGTAGCCAGATTTGAGGTCAATCTTGGAGAAGACTTTGCATCCATTGGCCTCATCCAGCAGATCATCTATACGAGGCAAAGGGTAGGCATTCTTCCTTGTGATTCGGTTCAAACCACGATAATCAATGCACATCCGGAGCTTGCCTCCTTTCTTCGGCACAAACAAAACAGGTGCGCCGAACTCAGACTCGCTAGGCCTAATCCATCCACGATCAATCATGTCATCAATTTATCTCCGCAGCTCCTCCAACTCGCCTTGTCCCATACGGTAGACGCAGCCCTTTGGAGGAATACTCCCTTCTATTATCTCGATTTTGTGCTTGACTGGATGCTCGGGAACTCCGCGAGGTTCAGCCAACACTTCAGGAAATCGATCTAATAGATGGCGAATGTTCGCTGGGATTTCTGGTGGAAGATCATCCTCATCAGGAGAGAGAAAATCAGATTGGGAATTTACAGCAATCACAACCGGTTTCGACATATTTGGTTCCGAACTAGATTGATCACTTATAGCAGAAGTAGGTGGAACAAAAGTAGTAGTAGTAGAGGTAGAATTACCTTCAGAGGTAGAAAATGCAGCAAAAGTAGAAGGCACGTGGAAAGGCTTTACAAGAGCTATATGTACAAATTCAGCTTCCTTGCGTCTGCGCACTGACCTGCAGAATTTGTTAGCACTGAGAAGAGTCACAAGGGACTCGCGTGTCTCGTCTAGTAAGACGGTACGCTCGTTCCCCTTGGCATCAAGTACCACGAACTGGTTGTCTGCCCACGTGGTCCTTAGGCAATGAGCCTTTAGCCAGCCCAAGCCAATGACCGCGTCGAAAGGACACTTGTCCAGGATATAGAAATTCAGCTCATGTGTGACAGTGCGATCTTTGTCAAAGGTGATGCGCACACCTTTGACAGCATGAGTAGAAGTGACAACCTCTTGGTTGCCCACCTGAGTCCGGCAAGGGTTCTGCAGTTCAACTTGCTTCATACCCAGGCCCGCCTTACGAATCCCGTTCGGAGAGAAGAAATTAGTGGTCGAACCACTGTCAATCAGCACACAGATGTATCGGCGGTTAATGAGTAGCTTAAAGAAAATCAGCTTCACGCTCCCTTGAACACGGCGTTGCTGCTTGAGCTGCAGCCAATGCTTCATGTCGGCGTGGAGGTCGACCTCTTTAGACTCCTCCCAAGGCTCAGTGTACAATACTTGAACTGCGTCAGCCTTGGATTCAACATTAATTTGGGTTTCAAGAGAACGATGCTGATGAGATCCAGGATCCTCGGAAGGGCCTGCAACTGACTGCCCAACTTCCCTTGCTGTAGAGAGTGCTGATGACTCCTCTATGCCCCTTGCCTGTTTCCCTGAAGACGATAGCAATCTTGCAAAGCATGCCCAGGCTTTGAACAATGCAAGCATACGCGTAGTTTGGATATTCTTTCCCATTCTTTTTGGCTGATGCGAAGGGTTTTCCAAGGTTTGGTGGAAGCAACCTCCGGTTTCTCAGGGATCTTAGCATTCTTGGGAAGGTGTATAACTGTTCCCTTACCCGAACCACGGTTAGGCCCCTTATTCGAAGCACTCTTTCTGAATGCATTAAGTTTTTCGTCATCATTTCGGTCACACTCAATGGCTGATGTGGAACAGTCTGTATCGAAGTTCGGCTCTAGATCGTCATCTAGAGACAGATCATCCGTATATGACCGATCGTCAGTCTTCCGATGATCATGCAGTGCAAGCTGGTTGCTGCTTCCAAATCGCTTGCGTTGTGGTTTCCCACCTGCAGCGGGTGCCTTCTTGCGCCTGGCGAGGTCCTTGGCCTCTAGGTTGACTAGATCCTTCATGAGCTATCGCCAGGTAGCATGGTCTTTGAGTGCTAGCAGGGAGCGGTATTCTTTAGGGGCCACTCCCATGACTACATCCATGCAAGATACGTCAGTCATTCCCAGATCCGGATTAGTGAATAGACCAGTCAAGTGTTGTTCCAAAGCCTGCATGGATGACCTCCATGTTTCGCCCTTGAGGGCCTCAAGGTTCAGTCTAGCCTTGAGCGCAACATGTTTATCCTGGTACCGGTCAAGGAGAAGATCCTCAAGGGTGCGAACAGGGGTGACCTTCAGCCAATCAGTCAGGTCTATGCGTTCATAGCCTACTGCGACAGCTTGGAGCTCAATGTGGTTTCGCACGGCGGGCTCGGTATTAGTCCCCATGATCATACTTCGGTCCTCTTGTGGTGTCCGCATGACCTCGAAGTATGACCTCATGGAACTAATCCAAGAGGTGATGTCTGCCTTCCCGTCGTACTTGGATGGCAGCGTGGCCGCCCGCTTGTCCACCATGGGACCGTTGTACTGAATACCAGTAAGGACTGTGGCGTTTTGGGTTGAAGTCCCTGCATTTGGGACCGCGACCAGCGCAGAACTGTCGGCGCTGCCGCTCGAGGAGCTGGCACCGGATCCTTCCCTTGCCGTGGTTCCACTTGATCTAACTATGAGGGCTGTGTTTGATTGAGAGACCGGGACTACAACAGACCGAGGGTTAGGAGGGCGGGGGGCAGACAGTTGGGCCTGTTCAAGGCTAACTACCTTAGCCTGCAGCTCTTGGTTCCGCTGCTCAAGTGCTTTCATACGGGACTCGATATCTTCCAAGTTCCGCAGTCGGACCAAGGCTGCGACGACAGCAGCTAGCCTCTCCTGGAACAGGTCAGCATTGGCTTCTCGGACCTGTAGGAGGGCCTCCTGAGCAGCTATACTCTCAGCTCTAGCTGTTGCCTCCGCCTCCCTTTCCCTCTGCACGGCATCATCATACAACTTTTGAAAGAACGGTTTCTGGCTCTCGTCTGCTGCATCCAGCATGGTCTGCCATTGGTCAGATGTGATGACCGCCATGCTGGAGGAAGGGGTGTCAGTAGAACTCTCAAGAGGGGTCCGCTCTCGCCTGACTTTTGGACGAACACTCCTCTTGCCCTTTCTCACACTCTCAAACAACACACCTTCTCTCTCCCTTTCCTCTCTTTTCGCTGTCTGCGCACGTGTCTCGATGCTTTACATAGATAGTTCAGATAAAAGAAACAAACAGAAAACCACTCAGAGAAGAAGGTAGAACTCCTGGCCGGAGCGGCGAATCATTTGGACTCAGAGTGTGGCACGCAGCAGAAGAATAAATAAAAATAAAAAAATAAAAAAACAGCAGAGAGGTCTGATTTATAGAACGGGCCCGATCAGATCAGTTGGAGATCCCCTGTTGTCTAACCTGACAGAGGACATGTCATCACAATAAACCAGACGAAGAAGACTAACTGCAGCAATGGAGATTTCGAGGGGTGCAGATGGTCGCCGAATCAGACGCGGGGCAGTATGTGCTAACATGCGGTAAGGCCAGTCAAGATCCCCTTGAAAGGAATGCCCTTGTTGTTCGTATGTCCCTCAATTCTAGCACAACAAAGAAACGCACCGGCGACAACAGATCTGGGCCCAAAAGGTCCTGTCCCGTTGGGCCTGGTCCCACTGGGTCTTGAGGGGTCCCAAATAGGCCGTGGACCAGGACCAACGTAATAGTGGTGCCAAGTTGGTCCCAAACTGCCTCTACCATACTGAAAAGGAAAAGACAACTTTCAGCAAGAACTCACTTTTACAGCCGTTCAGAAATGAAAAGACAATGCACCGTAGAAAGATATGTTATTTAGAGTAGATACATCATCCATCCATCCATCAGGTGAGAAAGCAATCCACAAGCTCACACACACAACCAAGACCGCAGAGAGGAGGAAGAGAACCCAACACACCCCCAACAGGCCACGAAGCACCAAGCAACCTCCCACGGGCTTACCCAGGTCACACGACACTTACCTGTGAGGCCCGACCTCCAAAGATGGATAACGAGTCACTCTCCTCTCATATAAGTCCTCCTGACCCCTAGCTACCACTACACGAAGTGTCCTAGCATGACTAAGAGGGCCTTCCTACACCCCTGTTGCAAAATCGGATTCCCCGTCGATGCCTGAAGACCAAAGTAGCAACTTGCAGCAATCCGATGCAGATATGGAAGCCTCCGATCAAGTCTCTCTTTTGAGGGGAAGCCCAAAAGTCACTCAATGTCTTCCTGAAGTCCAGATTCCAGGTGCGAGTACCTCTCACTCTCTACTCCCTCTCGCTTACTCCAAACAGC